CCAAGATATTCTATAAAGCTGTGATAATCAAAACAGCATGGTATTGGCACAAAAACAAACAGGTGGACCAATGGAATAGAATAGAGACCCCAGAAATAAACCCCAAAGCTTACAGCCAAATGATTTTTGACTAAGGATACCAGTCATTCCATTGTGAAAAGGAAAACTGGTGGAAAATACTGGGGAAACTCAGGGAGACATCAGGGTAGGCAGACTTCTTAAATAAGACTCCCGAAGCACAGACAGCAATCCCTAAAATAGATAAGTGGGACTATGTCAGACTAAGAAGTTTCTGCACAGCAAAGAACAGAGTAATTAGTGTGGCTAGATAACCCCCAGAATAGGAGAATAGTTTTGTAAAATATGCCTCAGACAAGGGATAACCAGAATACACAGGGAACTTAAGTGGCTTACTTGGGGGGAAAAATAAAAAAGATTAACCCAATTAAAAGATGGGAAAATGAACTGAACAAAAATCTCTCTAAGAAAGACATATGAACAGCCAAAAAGCATATGAGGAAATACTCAACATCCCTCCTCATAACGGAGATGCAGATTAAAACCACAATGAGATACCACCTAACTCCTGTCAGAATGGCAAAGATTAAAAACATAAAAAGTGATAAGTGTTGGCAGGGATATGGTGAAAGGGGAACTCTTCTACACCACTGGTGGGAATGTAAACTGGTTCAGCCACTGTGAAGAACAATATGGAGGTTCCTCAAAGATCTACAAATAGAACTACCATTCCATCCAGCAATCCTACTTCTGGGTATCTACCCAAAGAACAAGAGAATGCTTAGTCGGAAAAATGCTTGCACACCAATGTTTATTGCAGCATTATTCATGATCTAGTACTAAGACATGGAACTAACCCAAATGTCCTCAAACAGATGAATGGATGGAAAAAGTGTGGCACATATACTCTATGGAATACCAATCAGTCATAAAAAACAAGACCAAGGATCTACTGCTGAGTGAAATGAACCTGGATATGAAAGAAAGATATGTATCCACTTAATATATACTATTTGTACTTTATGATATATATGTAAATATTGGAGGGCATAAAAGCAGTTGAAAATAGTTACGGATGCTAAAGACAGTGTGGAATGGGGCAGGAAAAGGGAATAGTATAGAGAAAGATATCAAGAAAATAGAAAGACATGACAATAGTGAGACACAGAAATGGTTACCTGTTGATGATAACATGTATAGTACTCTCAACTGGACGGGTCTGAGAAGTATTTCATGTTGGGTAAATTCTTTTTACAAGCAAAATGATATATAGTGATTGAATGTTTAAAAAAATAGTGAGAATAATAATAATCTGGAAAAAATGATGAAAAGCTATTTGATAATGATAATGTGGGTAGTAATGTCTTTGTCTTGACTGATATGCATGGAAAAAGAAATGCAATACACTGTAAAGATATACGTGATTCAACGTAATTTAAACAAGATTATGATAATAATAAAATTTAAAAAATAAAAATAATGACAAAAAAAGAGTAAAAACAGCGAGAAACACTGGGCATTTCCTTTGTCTTTCAGTCTTCCTTTTGTTCTCCTTATTTTAACTATTTCCTAGAAAAGCCCTGGGATCAGGGATTGTTATTTGTCTTGGTGTCCCAAGCACCCGACTTCAAACCTGGTGTGTAATTTGTGCTCAACAAACTATACTGAAAAATGAGTAACTTAAGTCTACAGGTGTTAACAGTACAATCAAACCAGGAGAAATCAAAACTATTGTATGGATGTTTAACAAAAGACATCCAAAGTGGTCTGATTGGGAAGGTGTTAACCACATTTTCTTACACCTGCCTGGGACTGCCTCCAAGAAAGCTCTATCATCTTGAAACCATTCCCTCTCTACCCAAAGGCATTCAGAGAACAATCAGACACCTTAGCTGGTACCTTACAAGATGGAATGTGCCTCTTCGTTTCCCTTAACAAACCGCTAGGGCCTGGGCAGAAAAGATTATGTGTGTGTCTATGTTAGGGCAGGGGGCACTAAGGGAAAGCATAAATGACAACAACAAAAAAAAGGTAAAAAAAATCACCATTAAAGCTTCCTCATCTGTGTTGTCTCAGGTACAGGAGAAAAGGTTTGAGTCTTTTCAGGTAACGACTTACTGTGTTGTCACCGACAGAACTGGATGCCTAAAAGCTTACAATTTTCTCTTTCCTTCATTTTCCTTCCTTTCCCCACCTCCCCTAGCACCATAGGGCATTTAAGGCAAAGCAAAATATGCCAAAACAAATGCCATTCTGAATGTAGAAAGAATACATTATCTAAGTGTGCCTGGAAAACAAACAAGTAAAGATTTCAGTGTTTAACTGGAGAAACAACCAGTTACAAGTCAGAAAAAGAGTATTTGCCCTGACACATTTCCTTCTCAGCATCATGCTTGGTCAGATTCATTCAAGCTTGGGGAAAGGATTTCAAATTGTTTCTTCCAACTCTGGAAACAATCCCACAGGAAGGCTCACCAGTCCAGGTAAGACTACTCACTTCCTGATCCATTAATCCCCAATTGTACATCTTTAAGGGAAAAGTTCTTTTTCTCTAGCTGGTCAGGACTAACAATGTTTGCAAAACATCAGGGTTCTAGAGGGGAATGACAAAAGAAGAATTTGGCAGATTCCATTGCCTGAACATTCATTAACCTGTATATTTCTCAACCGGCCAAGAAACTAGCTAAATATTCTTTATTTTATTATAACATCCTAAGTTAACTTTCTCTTTAGCAGAACCGGAGCCACAGCTCCAACAACTTTGACAGAGAGTCTAAGAAAAACTCCCAGCAGTGATTTGTTCAGATGAAGAAGAATATGAGGAAGGAAGCATGCTTATTCATCTAAATTATCAACTCAAATACTCCAGACAGAACCTGTCACTAACAATTTAACTTCAATTATATACACTCCACTGTGGCATCACTCATTCCTATGACACGTTTCTGCAAAAAACATGTTCAGTACTTTAATAGTCTTTTTCTTTCAATATCATCATCCCAACCACTGCTGCAACATAACGATGTGGATTGAAGAATTTCCCATTTCAATGAATGCCTTGTATTGGCATCAGAAAGTAGGCACACACTGGGAGGCCAGCCAGGGTGTGGGAACAGGCTCCTATAAAACCGGATTTTTATATATGTTAAAACGGGATTCTACCTGTATTTGCAGTTTTATATTAACCAATGTGTTCTACCCTTCCAGAACACAATGCTAACATTTTGAGAACTCTTTCATTTTTCTATTTTTTTTTTTTTGGTAAAGAAAAAAATAGATTTTAAAACAGATTTCCACATTTTTTGGCAATAGTCTAAGTACATTTTGGGAGGTGCTTTAATATTTTCTTTGGTTAGAAAAAGTTTATGCCAACCAAACTCAAAATTCTACAACTGTGCCTTGCGAATTCTATTTTGACACTCTAGAGCTGTACTAACGCCGCCGTCGGATTTCTACGCCTCAGAAACACAACACATTAACCAGTAAAATAATAGGCAGGTTTTCAGAAGGCTGAGAAGGTTGAAGTCGTTACCCAGCCAGCGAGACAGCTGTCACAGCTGTGCTTTGGATGGTTGGTTTCCATTCCTCCTCTCCTCCCCGAATCCCAACGCCAAGGCTGTGGTGAGGAGGGGGCAAGAATCTCCCAGCCCCGCCAGTTCTTCCAGCGCACCTGCCGCCCCTCCCTGTCCGTGCAGTCGCTGCCAACTTCCCGCCGGCCGCCGGGCCCTCTAGGCAGCGGACGCATCTGGCCCACCTGCTTCGCCCACCCCGGGCCGACCCCGCGGCCCAGCTTAGTGGGCAGGGCGCACTCTCTCCTTTTTTAAATCGGCTTCCCGGGGGATGTAGGATTTGGCTGAGTGTGCTCTTTGAAATACTATATTGGGAACCTCACACATTAAAAAAAAAAAAGAAGAAGAAAAGAAAAGAAAAAAATCTTAATTGCAAACCCTCCCAGTTCACTCCGCAGCTGGAGAGCAGGCCCCAGGCAGCGTCCCTCCCTCCCGCCGCCCCCGCTTCGCTCCTTCCCGCCTCCTCCCCTCGCCCGGAGCGGGACTCACGGGAGCCGCCCCCCCCCACGCGCCC